CGATTTAATCGTAAACGCGAGAGCTCTTTAACTTCTCAAAGAGCGATCTTTCTGTTCGTTGCCCGGATTAATTCGCATAATAAATATAGGATATATCGCCATTTCAGATCTTTTTAGCTTTGTTATTTTGAAAGGCGAAATTTATTTCAAACATTATTTTAACAGGAGAATTTATCACCCGCGCGAATACTTTCTCTCAATAAATATTAACTCGTGCCTTAATAGACGTGATTAACTCGGAATATGTTTACATGCGTTCACAGGATGTATTGAATGCGTGATTCACGTTGGCGATTTAAGTAGTAGACTAACCCCGAGTACGCTTGGTCGAAATCGTAAAGGATTCGCAAATAATACCGGCTTGCATCTTGGTTTTATAATATCATCCGCCAGCATCCCAAACAAGTAAGATTTGCGAATAATAAATCATCAAGGGTTGCAAATTGATGCCGTGCCAAATCATAGTTACGAATCACATCTGTTCAAATAGTTGCTCACCGCGATTTGATTCCTTGCGAGAATACGCGTATATTTTGGATCCTATTAATAGCCATGCGAAATTAAGCCATTAACGTACGATTAGCCGGTGATTTATCACGCTTACTGGCAGCGATTTCACTTTTCCGCTTTACAAGATCGCATACATCTCTGTAACAAAAACACTTTCTAGTTTATGATGGAAAAGTAACTCAAACAGTTGCAGCTAATCATAGTAACGGCACATCGAAGAAATCTCTCTGTAAAATTTAATTCGCTCCGATTTGATTGCCGACTGATACCTCACATTAAAATATTCTTCTCGCTAAATACATTAATTTTGTGATTAAAATTGCATTTACATCACGCGCTTCGTATTAATTTACAAAGAAAAAAAATATCTTTTTTAATTCTGATTTTTAGTGGCGGAATTTTATTTTAACAAACTTTGTTCTAAATTGTCAAGTTATGTGAAATATATGCAGAATTAGATACGCGCGTAACACTTTCGTCTGTGAAATGATGCGCGACATCATTTATGCCGGTTCCGTTGGTCAAGCTGCCTTGACTTCGCCTAATTCGAATTAATTGATAATTTGCCGCTCGAGGGACTGCAAATGGCAGAACCGGAGTTTTGTTTCGCACGTGGCCTACGCCCGAAACGGAAGTTTTAATGAGCCGCATTTACGATAATCATCACGAGTATGCAGTCTCGTTCGTGGCACGCGTGCGCCCTTTTACGATAATAGAACGAAACAGCCGTTCCGTGTTGCATTTCGCCCCGTGGACCATTTGCCCGCGTACACCTTCGCGAACACCGTCTAAATATACATGATAAAATAAATGTTAGCGCACTCGCGGTATTACCCTCTTATATCGCGAGTGATTTCGAATCGCGCCGCAGTCGCGAGTATTTGCCTTCGTATTTACCGACCGCGAAGTCTGGAGTACACAGCTGACGCTTTTACAAACGCGTAATTCGTGGGTGGATGAGAGATATGTTGATACACGATATCTAGTGGCTTCCGCGCGCGCGAGATGCGTCTGTTTGTCCAATCTGCTACTGTACACACAAGGCAAGGTGTATCATGTAGATTCCGCTGGAATCTAGTAGGCGTTAATCAAAGAAACCCAGCGCGTCGTTCGTATTTCTCGAAGTTCGACCTGCCGGAAGCTCATCTCTCTCGAGTAACCACTCAAGAAACTCGTTGATGACGTGAAATATTTCTCCGGGAAAAAAATCTGAAAAGTCCGTGACACTCGGCGGGGAAAGTGACCGGTGCTGCGAGCGCGTTGCGGTGCGTCGCGGGCGCAATTAGCGTCGAGCGCGCGGTGAAAATGCACCGTTTGCATCCGTATCCATTTAAGTCGCTATCAAGCCGCTTTTACATTGTAACGGAACGCACAGCGACCGCTCCGCTCCGCTCCGCTCCATTCCGCTCCGCGGATCGACTCGCTCGCGCGGGTCAACGAGCCGCCCCTCTTCCCCTGCGCGTCTCCTCCTCAATTGAGGAGTGACGTTTCCACGTCGTGCTTCCGAGAGATACCGATAACGCCCACGTGCCGCCGAATCCCACGTAGTGTCGAGTACTTGTGCGCGTGGGTACTCGGCTGTCGCGAGTACGTAATCGGTCGTGCATGCATGCGGCGGCGACCAGCTGCGTTGGCGCGCGCACACGCGGCATTAGAAAGGCGGCCGCACGCGGGACTGGGAGATGTCACAAGGCAAACCGCATAACATAACAGGGAATTATTGTGCATGCCTATCCCCGCGCCCGATCGGCGGGCACACGATTCACAGTAGTCAGCGGCTGAAATCGAGCGCGCTCGAGCGTCCTTGAGAAAATTTCTCTCCCGTTGTTCGCCGCTTTCGGAGCGCGCTCTACGTGAAAATCGCGTGAGGCTTTTCGCGACGATTTATTTTCGATCGCGGGACAACGTCTCATTATCGTACGAGGTTGTCCCCGA